CATAAAACAAAATTTTCTTCAACTAACTTTCACAAACGTGGAAATCCCACTCTAAAAGAGAGATCGATAGCCAAGTATTATTAATCAAACTTTATTTTCTATTTTAGAGAAAGAGGCTGGTTTTGAAATAATTTTCCTTTATTTCCATAATACAACACACATAGCCTGGTCTACCTCGTTTGGCTTACACATGTGTGTTTTAGCATTAGACTAAAGAGTTTGCCCTGTCATTATATCACTTTTTAAAAACAGTATCGCAAATATAAAACATATCATAACCTAAATCCATGGGTACAGTAAAATAGTCCTCTTTTATTTCTGGGGGGGAGGGGAATTGAATTTTAGGTAAACTTCAGGGTTCAAGTTTTTATACTACTGACTAGACAACAGGCGCTAACATCTAAGTGTTAAGACAATTTTCTTCGGACCATCCCCACAAGTCAATAATGATAACAACACTACTTTGAAATCATCCTAATCTGCTTTAAAAATGCCAGGGAATTTAAATGAAATCCCCACCACTACCACCACCACCCCCAAAATATATGGCCTTCTAAGAAATAAAGTATACTAACCTTGGATACTTCAACTTAACTAACATAATTTATTAAACACGTCAAACCCAAGTTCCCAACACGTCAAACCCAAGTTCCCTTGCAGAAGATAAAACAAATCACTGGGAGGAACATTCATTCAAATTGTATTCAGAAGATTATTAAAAGAGATTATGTTAGCTTCTTTCTACTCTGTCTCCTTAGTAGCCCAGCATCTCCAGATTCAAGGGCAATTAAAAGACTTACCTATAACAATAACTTGTTGTTTGTTCTCAAATGGCTAGAAGAAAGGAGCTCAAGTGATCTCCTCACAAAGAAATGATGAAGTTTTGTGATGATGAATATGCTAATCACCCTGAGTTGATCATCACACATTGGGTACCTGCACTGACATATACGTGTGCAGCCCATAAATATATACAATTAATATGTGTCAATTAAAAAATAAATTGCCTTTTTAAAAAAGAAAAAAAAGAAAAAAGACCCAGCTGAGCTCCACCTTTGACATGCAGCTGAAAATCTATTGACTCTCACCTGTGGCAGGGAGGAATTAGGATGAGAGGGAACCTACAGAGCTGCTGAACACCTCTCCCAAATGGATCCCACAGAGATTCTTCCTGAGAGATAACAAGCTAAACACTTAAGCTCTAAGAATTAAATAAATAAAGCAGCAGCTGACTAGGGAAAAAAAGGTTCTTAAAGAACTGTTATTCTATAGATTGAGCAAGCTACTTCTATTGGAGGTTAAACTTAATAAAGGATTCTCAGGGTTGTATCCACCTTCCCTGCAGTACCCAGGGTGCTATAGAAATGCCACCGCCCCCCTCCGCCCCCATCTTTTACAAGGGCATTAACCCCATTTTTAAACTAGTAATAATTCTTTCTTTTCTGTACTGCAAATATTCAACCACTGTGGTTAAATACTATATATATATCATAAACAGGGTCAAGAATGCCAGTTGCTAGAAGAGTCATGTTTAAATTAGCATTAACTAGCAAGCCCTTCTCTAAGCAAAAAAAAAGAAAAAAAGCAAGAAATGTTTCTTGGTCAGCTCTGTGCCTGCAGAGTGATTTTAACCCATGAGCTCAAAGGCTCCACAAAGTCCAGATGTAACATGATAGCACCATTAATTTTTACTAAAGTAAATTTCTCAAAAGTACACAGAGCATTATCAACCTGGGGGAAATGGGGGGAAGAAACTACACATTAGTTTGTTCCACAACCATTACATAATTTGAATAAACTGGCAGTAGTGTCTTAAAACTTAACAGCCATGAGTTACAATCGAATGTAACAGAATAAAAGCCCAATCATGCCTCAATCATTTCAGCCCTTGTTCTGCCCGACTATGTTATTCGTTGTCTTCCTACATCTTGGAGTTAAATAATACTGCCCCTTCCCTGTCCCCAGTAGCACAACTCTTTAAATAACATCCAAGGTGCCCCATAATTTGCTGTCTTGTAACTCTCCAGCCTTCAGCACCTGGGACTCTGACTATATCTGCCTCAGGAGGGCAGGTCTTCACCCCCTACCAGTCATCTTTTCAGACACGCATCATCCTTCAAACCCCATTTGTGAGGTCTTCTCCAGAGCCAGAAGCTAATTTTCCATTCCCTGGCATGCCAAGGTTCTTGGACTCTACAGCTGCCACGCAGTTATGCAATACGCCATACATATTCAGAATACGAGGGGGCTTCAAACAGTCCATGAAAAGTTCATACTTTTCAAGTGCCCTCGTATGTACTGCTACTAGCTGCATCTCCCCCGCTCTTCTCCCCCCCCCACATTGCAGCTCTTTCTAGAGCTTTCTTTCATTATCCTTTTATCTCCCACAATGGAAGGAATTCAATAACTGTTTGTCGAATTAAAATTTCTTCCTATCCTTCCAACTTTCTAAGACATCCATAATAGTTTTCCATGGGATGTTCAAATAACAACACTAGAGGGACTTCAGAGGTAACGTGATATGTAAAAATAAGAACCCAAACAGTAGGATGATGCTGAGTTAACAAGGCCAGAGCGGACTCTGACACTGAAAACAGAGAGCTGATGTTTTTTATTACATCATGCTTCGCTTTTAAAATAAATCATGATCCTCAAGTGTATAGGCATACTGATACCAAAAAAAATTAAAGAAAAGGGAGATGGGCCACACATCAAGCACAAACATTAAAAATTTGACCTCAAACTAAATTTCAGCACTGCACTCTTCCGAGTGAGCCACGGGCCGCCCCAACCTCAAACTAAATTTCAAGTCTTGTTATTTGCTGAATACTTGGAGCTTCGCAGTGAAAGTGATACAGTGTATTCTGCCCAGATTGCAACTTTCCTTCCTAAGCATTTGGAAATGATTCTTGGCCCTAAAAATCACTGACTTCAGACCGAATGCCTTTTTGTATCGAAAAGACTTAGCAAGAAGGATCAGTACTTTCTCTGAATGTTCCAGTAGGTCTAACAGTCAGAAACAGATTCAGGAAAACCTTGCAAAGTCTTTGGTATAATTTGAAAAAACAAACAATAATAAGTTACTTTTTGGAAAATATTAGCTTTGAATGAAAATAGAAGTTTAAAAAGAGCTGCCACTTACATTCCCACCTCTGTTGTTTTTCTCCCATCACTCACAGGGATATTGAAATCCATGCATAGTGCACAGAGCACTGGGAAGCAGCATTTCCTCTGAGAGACGATGATGCAAATGGAAGATGGTCAGGTGGTGTCTAGCAGAGGTCAGACTACAGGGATCACCTTGACCTCATGTCAATTTTAAGACTTAAGCTGGCTCACAAGCTTTAAAAAGGGTGACGTGTGATTGATGGGGGTGGAGGGGTATTACCCTCTTGTGGAAGAGGGGGGAAAAAGCGAAGGAAAAAAAAATAAAGGAAATCAACTCTCAGCTCAAGGTTCTTTCCCACCAGGCACCCCCTACTGCTGGTTTTCTTCCATCTTTTAGGCACTTTTGCCCTCTCACTTCCCTCCCAGACTCTTTACTCCCCTCCTACTGTTCTAACATGGGATAACCACACACCGGTTTCTAGATACTTGAGGAGCTGGAAGGAAGGAACAGCAAAGATCATAAAACCCCTCCATTTTCCATATGAGGACACCGAGACCACGAGCTGACCTGACTGGCTAAGGTGGCACCGCTAGGGGACGCGGTGTGCGTGCGCGCTCAGATTATGACAATTCAGTCCCCCCCCCCCCCC